ACGACAACATGAAAAAAGAATTTGGAGACGAGGTTAAGTGGGTCAAAGGATTGCCCGACGACCCCTATGCCCTATTCAAGCGAACCCCAGGACTGCTGATCGCGGACGACCTGATGGGAGAAATGGAATCGGATCATCGTCAGATCTCGAAATGGTTTACCAAGGGAACCCACCACATGGATGTGAGTTTGGTCGTGCTCATGCAAAACGTGTTTCCCGCCCACATGCGAACCGCCTCCCTCAACGCCCACCGCATCGTGCTGTTTCGCAATCCTCGAGACAAGTCTCAGCTGCAAGCCTTGGCGCGTCAAGCGTTTCCGGGTCAAGCCAGGTGGTTGAACCGTGCTTTGGAGGAAGCCAGCAAGCGACCGTTCCGTCCGCTGATCATGGACTTTGATCAATCCACGCCCGACGAGTACCGACTGTCGTTGGACCCCTTCCCCGAAGACTTGAAAGATTCCAACAAACCCTTCCCCCAAGTCATACTCCCCTAGTTGTGAAATAATAAAGAAAAATCAATGAAACGAACACGGTGTCGTCTGTTACTTTTTCTCTTTAATCTACATCCATAGCGATGCGTCCATCGTACATCTTGAGAAATATGTCGTAAGCTTTAACAATGTCTCTTTCTTTAGTCCGTATGCCTTGTTGGGGTCCGTGGGCCATACGGTACGTAATGTACTTGGTATACCGCTCTTCGCTGATGCGCTTGAATACGCCATTCTCAGTGATCAGTCGGGCTTGATTCATGCCTTCCTAGTCGAACAAAGCGTTTAGGGTAGACTTGGCGTACTTGGATCCAGAACTCTTGATGCTTTTCTTGATGCTTCCCACTTTGCTGGCTTCGGCGTCTATCTTTCGTTTCAAGTCGACTCGAGCTTCGGTCGCTTCGTCTTTGAGGGCTTCTTTCAAATCTTTACCTTCCAGTACCTCCGAGGCCACGTTAGCCAAGGCTTTGCCTCCACGGTCCACGGCAGCGTCTTTTACAGCATTAATCTTGGGTAGAACGTATTGCATGGCCCCACGCCCCAACCGTCCAATGCTCAGTCCTCCTCCGGCTTGTCGAGGGGTATAGACGGGAATGTTGCCGCCTCCTTCTTGGGGAACGTAGATGGGGATGTTCATACTCCTTTTTTGAAATCCAACGATACGGTGGTCACTCCTGAATTAAGGAAGGGAAGCTCTTGTCCTGCTTCGTCTTGTACGGCAAAGGCCACGGTCTGGTACGTATTCTTGGAGAGGGGGTAGTATTTAACGTGTTGGGGTTCGAACACGTATTCCTTGGGTTCGGCTGCGGCACCCATGGACACGGACGAGAGGGGAACCACGTCCATGAGAGGAATGTTCTGATCGCCGACGTGTTGATTGTGGACTAGACTGCAGGTCACGTACGCATTCTTGGGAACGGCCTTGGTGTTGGTGACCACGTCGATGGCGTAGGGACCACTCTGAGAGTTGAGGACGTCCTCGTTGCCTCGAAGCTGGGTATACTGATACCCCGGGATACGGGCCACGCGATTGGAYTGCGGCTCCGTATTGGTCTTCTGATCAGACTCGACGTGTCCTGAAGGTCTCCATCCCTCCTTGCACGTGATTCTGACAAATTCGCCTGGGCCCATGACGGCGGCATCCACACTTTCGTACTCCAGCCCAGCACTCGATCCATTGTTAAAGTTCAGCAAGTCGTAGAACCCCTTGGGCATGGTGAGGTACAACTCGCTGGGGGTAATGGTCGTACTCGATGGACCTCCTGAGGGCGATGGCGGTCCATCGATATCGACTATGGATCCTAGGCGTTCAAAGAATCCCATCTTTAGGTAAAAGCGACCGAACGTGCTGACGTCAAGGCTGGTTTGAATGAGATACACGGGAGAATGATCCTCCACAAAGTCCTTGGAAAAAGGAGGAACAAAAGAGTGCCATTGGGTAGTGCCATCCTGTTGAAGCGTTCCCTGTATGGGAGTGCTAGGATCAACGATCCAAAAACCCAACCGTCGCAGGACTGTGTTGTCGGTCGGAGCTAGGGGTCCTACCAGCACGTCATGGTGCGACGTGAAGTCCCATTTGGTTTTGCTCTGGTCGGCCTCCATCTTGACCCCATTGGCGAGAAATAGTTGATGAAGGTCGTCCAGGTTCTTTCTTCCTCTGAGGTCAGTGTTGATGAGCACGTCTGACCCTGAGGAGTCATCCACCCATGTGGCCGTATGGGCCCTACTCAGCCCTCCGATGCCGAGCCCCTTGA